TAAAGTGATTTCTGTTTATTCCAACTTTAACATAATGTTCATTATATGGATTTAATGTCAATTTATAAAACTTAGTACATTATATGTTTTTGAAGTTTCTACATTATTTGAGATAGTAAGGATGCTGTGAAAGACTCAACTTGCAATGTCAAATTTAGACTGCCTGGTCTTCCCTGGTGGCGCAGTGGTTGGGAGTCCGTCTGCCGATGCAGGGGACACGGGTTCGTGCCCCGGTCTGGGAGGATCCCACGTGCCACGGAGCGGCTGGGCCCGTGAGCCATGGCTGCTGAGCCTGCACGTCCGGAGCCTGTGCTCCGCAATGGGAGAGGCCACAACAGTGAGAGGCCCGCGTACCACAAAAAAAAAAAAAAAAATTTAGACTGCCAAAATTTTAAAAATTAAAAGAACTGAAGCTTGCATTAAAAATTTTTGAACTTGTTTTGTAAATAAACTAGGTACTGAATGTTTGAATTTCAATATAAATCTGAAGTTAGTAGCTACATGAAAAGTTTCCTTTAAACTATGCTTCCCTTTGAAATTTTGGATTCTGATAACCAACTTCCATTATCATCAACTTAAAAAGAAAAATGTCTCATCTTAAAAAAGATAATTGTTTTACAAAAGTCACTTGCCTGTTTCTTTTTAGAGTGGAGAAGTCTGATTTTGTTTTATTACCACTGTACCAAGACTGGGTTAAGAGGGAAGGTGGTTTAAAACAGAATAAACACTTTCTATAAAAATTATAAACAATATATTTTTTAGCTTATTGGGTTAAATCTTAGTCTTCTGCTTTTAAATTCAATTAATAACTTTAGTGAGCACCTATGTGCCTGGCACTATGCAGCTGCTGGGAATACAGCTGGAAGCAAAATAGTACTATAGTTACTCAGGCATATTTTGTATGATTATTTGATTAGTGTCAGTCTTCCCCACTGAATAACTACAGCAGTATTTTTTTCAGCCAGAACATAACTGCAAATGTACAAAGATGATGCTTAAAAAAAACAACCTGACAATAACATTCCACCAATGACACAAGAATTTTCTTTCACCAAGTAGAAACTCTGCACCCATAACTGAATTTTTTTCTTAAAACATACCTGCTAAAACACTCAACAAACCAGGAATATAAGGAAACTAGCTCAACATAATAAAGGTTATGTATGGAAAATCCACAACTAACATCATACTTAATGGTCAAAGACTGAAAGCTTTCCCTCTAAGATGAGGAACAAGACAAAGATGTGCATTTTCACCATTTCTATTCAATACGGTACTGGAAGTCCTAGCCAGAGCAATTAGGCAAGAAAAAGAAAGAAAAGTCATTCAAACTGGAAAAGAAGACATAAAATTATCTTTGCTAGAAAACAACCTTACCTTATACGTAGAAAACTCTAAAGATTACACACACACACACACACACACACACACCATTAAAATAAATGAGTTCAGTAAAGTTGCAGGATACAAAATCAACACACAAAAATGAGTTGTGTTTATACACTAACAATGAACAATCCGCAAAGGAAATTAAGAAATCAATCACGTTTACAATAGTACCAAAAAGAATAAAATATTCAGGAGTAAACTTAACCAAGGAGATGAAAGATTTTTACACTGAAAACTACAAAATGTTGTGAGAAGAAATTAAACACAAATAAATGGAAAGACATCTGGTGTTTACGGACTGGAAGACCGGAAGAGATGTCAACACTACTCCAAACAATCTACAGATTCAATGCAATCCCTATCAAAAAAATCCCAATGACATATTTTGCAGAAATAGAAAAATCTATCTAAAATTCAAATGGAATCTCAAGGGACCCCAAACAGCCAAACAATTTGGAAAAAGAACAATGTTGGAGGCCTCACACTTCTGATTTCAAAACTACTATAAAGCTAGAGTAATCAAAACAGTACGGTGACAGCACAAAGACAGACTTACAGACCAATAGATTTCAGAAATAAACCCTCGAATGTATGGTCAAGTGATTTTCAACAAAGATGGGCAGACCATTCAATGGAAAAAAGATAGTCTTTTCAACAAATGCCATTGGAAAAACTGGATATCCACATGCAAAGACCTAAACATAAGAGTTTTTTTGAGGGGAAAACTCTTAGAAGATTTTTAAAGGGGAAAAGCTTCATGACACTGGATTTGGCAATAATTTCTCAGATGTAACACCAAAAGTATAAGCAACAAGAGAAAAACTAGATCAGTTGGACTTCATTAAAATTAAAAACTTACCAAAAAAAACCTTTTGTGCATCAAAGTACACTCAACAGAGTGAAAAGGCAATGCATGGAATGACAAAAATATTTGCAAATCATCTATCTGATAAGGGATTGGTATCCAGAATACATAAAGAGCGCCTACAACTCAACAACAACAAAGAAAACCAACTAAATTAAAAAACAGGCAAAAAACTTAAATAGATTATTTCTCCAAAGAAGATATACAAAAGGCTGATAAGCTTTAGAGATGCTAATATCACTAATCTTTAGAGAAATGCAAGTGAAAACCACAATGAGATATCACTTCACGCCCATTAGGATGGCTGTTATCAAAATAATAAAAACAACAAGTGTTGGTGAGGATGTGGAGAAACTGGAACCCTGATGCATGCTCATGGGAATGTAAAATTTTCTGGATATATACCCAAATGAAATGAAAGCAGGGACTCAAACAGATATGAGCACACCTATGTTCATGGCAACATTATTCCAAAAGCCAAAAAGTGGAAGCATATGAAGTATCAACTGACAGATAAATGGATGAACAAAATGCAGTATATACATACAATGGACTATTATTCAGCCTTAAAAATGAAGGAAATTCTGACAAATGCTACAACATGGATGAACATTATGCTAAGTGAAATAAGCCAGTCACAAGAGGACAAACATTGTATGATTCTACTTACATGAAATACCTAGAGTAATCAAATTCGTAGAGACAGAAAGCAGCAGAGTGGTTGTCAGGGGCTAGGAGTAAAGGGAGGTGGGGCCTTAGTGTTTACAGGGTAGAGTTTCAGCTGCAGCAGATGAATGGAGTTCTAGAGATGGATGGTGATAAATGGCTGCACAACAACGTGAAGTACACTTAATGCCACAGAACTGTACACTTAAAACTGGTTAAAATGGCAAATTTTATGTTATGTATATTTTACCACAATAAAAACGGCAACAAAAAAAAGATACCTGCTATGCATCTTTCCTAGTGACTCTATCTTAGTGTAGGATCTCATCTCTTCATACCCAGGTAACTGCAATAGCTGCTACTGTCCCTGGTTCATTCCACTCTCTCCTCATTCTAACTCAACCAACAGATCACTGACAGGTGCGTCTTGGCAGTTTTAACATATTAATGTGTGGCCTCCAAACTTTCAAAGTCTCCCCATGTCTTGCACAAGAGGATAAAAATCCAAATCTCAATCCAGTACTCAAACCCTTCTACAAACATATCCTTTCAACTGTCTAATGTCTTCCCAAGGAAATTCAGTTGTCAGCTCATCCTAGTTTCCCTCTCTATTCCCCTCCCCCAAAGCTAATCTCCACATTACACTCTTGCTTTTCCCTCACAAAGTAACTGCTCCAATCTCTCTGTAAATCTAAACCCTCACAGAAGCTAGCTCAAGTCCCAAGTGTTCCAGGAAGTTATTTAGACTCCTGAGGCCTCACTCATCTCCCTCTAACCAGAACATGTACAGCATACTTTGTATTGATAGATTGTTTTCTAGGCTCAGAGGGGTACATCTTATCTTTTCTGAGGGCAAAGTCTACATATTTCACTTGTTTCTTTCTCCAGTAGCACCTAGTATTGCAAAATACAAAGCAGATCTTCAATAATCACCTGTGTAACTGAACACAAGGTACAACTCTGGTGTGTGAGTTTCAATGACTAGAATATGAAATCAGAAGCATTTGACATGACTACTTCTGAAGGTTAGCCTGTGACACACAACACAGAAAGCTGCTGTGACTCAAGTGGCTATGTGGAAACCAGGTGGTACAACCTGGCAAACACGACACAGGTGTTTTAAATCCTAAAATTAGAGCCTGATACAAAGAACCTGTTTAAATGCTGGTAATGAGGAACAAAACAATATAGTAGTTAGGTTTTGTGGGACAGAATACTGGTTTTACTGAATGCATGCATAAATAAGCAATGCTATAACTGGACAGAAATATAGTCAGTCACAGACCTATGAAAACTCTAAATGAAATGTCAGTTGGTTTTTTATTAAACTCAGGTCAGGGAAAAGAATCTTCATGAGTTACTTGTGGTAACTGACGGTAACTGTCAAGAATCAGTTACCTCTCTGATTTCTCCTTTCAACTACACTGTACAAAGACCCAGGGATGAGGATGGTGGTGAAGAATGCAATCAATGAAGAATACGAGGCTCAGGAGTGTAGTGAAAAGAGCTCTCTAAATAAGGCGGAGAGAGGCCTAGATCCTAGTTTTGGTCCAATCCCTCGCCAGCTGCAGAACCCACAGCGAGTCACTCATCTCCCTGGGCCTAGTTTCCCAGTTCTAAAACAAGTCACATCATATCGTTAAAGGTTTTTCTGACTTCAAAATTCCAGGACAAGTTTAATCACAGCTGCCATTAACATGTATGATTCTTGCAATTTCAAATCTTTCTTTCACATTTCCGGGAGAAAGTAATTGATTTCAGCAATCTAAAAGAAATGGATGCTATTCAGAGACAAAAGATTCTGCTACTTGAAAAAACGAAGTAATTCTGTAAAAATGCCTATTTCCTCATTACAGTAAGATGTTTTAGCAGAGGAAACAGTTCTCTGGTAAAACCAAGACTGCTTCTGCGAATTAGGCCTAATCCAGAGTACTTATTATCTGTGCTGGTATGTGAAGAGGTGCTATTGTAGTTCAGAGCAGAAACAACACTCAGGGCTTCCTCCCCCCAAACGGTGAGAAAGTTCTCATCTTCGGGGTAAGGCTAATAAACAGCTGTGCAAATGATGAGACACTGAAAAATGCACGCTTTTAGCCTTTCAAGCACTCCAAGCACAGGATTCTTTACCAAAGACTCCGTATTGTCTCTCTCCCAACCTGTCAAAGCGCAATTCCAGTTTGATCCCGAAACAGTAACTTACCCGGACAATCTAACTTCTCCCCCGGGGAGCAGCCGTACACAGGCCTGCATTCCTCGACCCCTGATTCCGGACGGCAGCTCTCACGCCCACCCCGGGGCGGTCGCAGCCCCGCAGCCGGGTAAACACGCGCCCGAGTCTCGGGAGCGGTTTCCCGGCGTCCTGGGAGCGACGAGTCCCGCCCCTCGTAGCCCCGAGACTGGAGCCGGCCGAGCCGCCGCCGCGGCCACCTCGGGCCGCTCTCCCCGCCCCAAGCGCCACACCTCGCGCCTCTGCCCCCGGGACGGCTGCGCACTGCCCAGCCCGCCCCGCTGAGCGCACCGGGACCGGTCAGCCTGCCACCGCCGCCTCAGCCCCAGACGGACCAGTGACCCTTCCCCGGCTCCGCGCCCCCCGCGGCGGCCGGGCCCCAGCCCTGCGCCCCCACGGCCCCCGCACAGCCCCTTCCTCGTCGGGACGCCCAGCACCGCGCCGGTAACAGCCTCGGCTCACAGCCTCAGAGACATCGAGGGACACTCACCCCGGAGGCTCCTCCCGCCGCTGCTGCTGCTGCCGCCGCTGGGACCGCGGCCGTCGCCCCCGCCGCCGCCGCCTGCACCGCCGTCCGCACCGGCGCCAGCGCCCCCGGCCATCCTCCTCCTGCCGTCGCCGCCGCCACCTCCCGTCTCAGCTCCTGTCAGTGGCTCAGGCTCCGGGGCTTCTCCAGGTTTCTCTCGCCGCCATTTTGACGCCTGGAGCGAGCAGGAGGGACTTGGCTCGGCGCAGGCCTGGGGCGCCTGCGCGGCGCTGCGGAGCCGGCCCGAGCCCCCGCCAGTCCCCGCCGCCGCCGCCGCCGCGCCCGGGGTCACGTGGGCCGGCGGCGGCGCGCGCGCCCTGGCTGGCCGGGGAGGCGCGTTCACGGGACCTGGCATCGGTTGGAGCCGAGTGCGCGCGCATTATTCCCGCCCTCCGCTCGGAGTCTGAAGCTCGTTGCAGCATCTTGCTTATTCCGGGGAATTGTGGCAAATCGTTAAATCTGTCAGAGTGGAATTATAATAACTACGCTACCGCAGACCGGTTCTAACAATTCATGTTTCCATCCGGCGGCCGGCATCATGATCTATCGCTCACGACACATCTTTCGTAAAGCGAAGACTGCGCTTCCACGGAGAAGTCCTTTTTGACAGTCTTGGCGTTTTCTTGGCAGTTTATCTTAAGCCCTGTCTCTATGCTACTTTTACAGACACCACCTTGCTAGTTGTATAGTGGATTTGTTTTTTTTTTTTCATCAGGCACCGAAAAGTTTTCCTCAGCAAGATACCCCCATAAACGTGGGATAAGGATTGATGAAAACACAGTCGCCGCGTGGGAGAGCCAAATCGCTCTCCCTAGATGCCCCTTGTCTGGGAGTTTGCAGTAAGTTCAGCGATGCACTAACAAAAACACTTATGTTTATGGAGCACCTTACAGTTCGCAAAACACTGGTAAATGCGTGGCTTTCTTTGAACACCAAAACCGCCCTTTGAGGTAGTCAGGACGGGTATTATTATCGCCCTTTTACAGCTAAGGAAATAGGCTCAAAAATACTAAGTCGTTTGCCCCGGGGCGCACATGCAGCATTAGTAAGTAGGCAAGACAAGACTAGAACCCAGACATTCTGACCCTGGTCATCAGACACATTATCTCTCACAGTTCTATGACAGGCCCTAGCAATACATCCTGTATTTGTCCTCTGGGAATTTATTTAAAACTCCCTTTAAAGTATTTTCATTTTCAGTCTCTCCCCACCCTTTGAGAAACAAGTTTTCCAAGTCATGCCACCAAGTCTTTTTGTTGCTCTCAAACCATCTCTAAGCTTAAAAGAATAAGAGCAATTTCCAATTTTGTGATGTGTTTTTAACCATCTCTTTGTCCTTTATTATTTTATACGTTTTGCATTTGGTTGGAATATTTAAGTTGTTTTTTTTTAACATCCTTCAATGGAAGTATTTTATCTCTTTAAATATGATTGTTACTTTTCTCTGGACTTTCTTCAGATTTGATGTATCTTTCTTGTGCTCACTCATCACCTCCTTACTTCCTTGGAAAGACTATTTCTTTCCAATTTGTGTTATTTCATTTTTACCCCTTTCACCCCACGCATCTCTCCCCAACCCCAATACTCGAAGGTTTGGAGATTGTAGCAGAGATTGTAGTATTCCCTTGTCCAAAAAAAGGACCCTTCTAGCTGGTAAGGGTCTCTTCAGCTGAGCACATGTGTGGACAGGAGACAAGAAGTGCATGGAAAAGTGAAAAAATGCAAGGGAAATAGGCCCATCTAGTTGGAACAAAGGTTTGGCTCTGTGTGCCCACCTCCAATTCCCCTATACTGTTATACTTCCCCCTAAATGCACAATTGAATCTTATCTAAATTCAAGGCACGTACCATTATTTCTATTATTTGGCCTTTGTCTTCAGCTAAATACTGCATTAACTGAAAGAGCTGTTATATGCAAAGTAAAAATTCCGTTATTCAAACCACCTCTTGATAATTTATTAAACATGAAATAAGATCGGTCTCCACTATTTACACTTTCTCATTTATTCCTAACTTTCACTGCTTGATTTTGATTCTGTTTCCTAGAGACAATATAACAAACAAAATTAAAACAATACTAACAATATCATTCTAAAATCCGAGGGTAACCCCATTTTTCTGAAAGCTTTTGATGTGTAAATCTATCAAAGACTTTTTGAAAAGCCAAATAAGGTCTGCTGGTTTCACCTTGTCCTTTTGTCTATCTGAACACTAGGAGAACTCTAGTATGCTAGTTCGGTTAAGATTTACCTTTACAGAAATCATGCGTAAGTGTTCCATGATTTTTTTCCACCCTTTAAGTCATATACCTTGTGTTTTCTTATCATACCACTTAGGTGTACTTACTAGATACTGAATTAACTTGGTTTACACATCATATGTCAGAGTTTAGATTTGTCTATTTCAGTTCAGTCCTACACATGCTCAGGGTAAAAAATAAATGATTCTTTGCCCTCGAGGAGCTTAGACTCCAATAGGAAGACAGACTAAAAAATAATTTTTTTTAAAAAGTGCTAAGACAGTATTCAGGAGCAGTGAAGAGTATGGGTTCTAGAGTCAGACAGATCTGGGTGGGCATGTGACACAAGCCAGCCAGTGAGAATCTATTCTGGCAATTTCTGGCAGGCTCTCCTAGGAGATGTTTCTTCTTAATCTAAATCTCTGGAATTATGACCTTAAAGGACAATGTAAATTGTCTTCCTTAGCTATAAGGAGAAAGACATGAGCAATAGGAGAGAATGGGGACCACAAGCAGAAAGAAACAGAAATTGAGAAAAATGGAAGCCCTGACATCATTTGAACTCCTGGGCATAGCTGTGCCCTAAACCAGTCCAACCTTGGTCTTTTAGTTTTTATGAGCCATTAAGTTGCCTAACTCCCCTTTTTTCATCTTAAACTAGTTGGAGGTGGATAAAAGCAGTACATTTCTGTCACTTGCAATCAAGTGTTCTGTTCTTCCACTCCCTGCTCCCTCCATCAGTGAATGTCACCCCATTTTCTGTTACTCCAATCTGATCCTTCATTTTTCTACCATACGTAACGATCCACCAAAGCCTCTCCCTAGGCTCATCTTTCTGGAAGCTGAGTTTTTGAAATCATGAAGAAAAGGAAAATTCTATTTCCTCCATATCAGCATTCTAAGAGAAGTATTACCATACTTGCTTTATTTGTCTAAAGCTCTGCAGCTAGTAAAGGATAGTGCTGAGGTCTGACCTTTGATCTATTGGCTCCAACTGACAATCTCTCTTCACTCCAGCATAACAGAAATCCATTGAAGAATATCTGGGTGTGCCTCAGGAGAGGAAGAAGAATGTTGGATTTAAAAACGAAAAAGAGATGTAAGAAAACTAAAACTTTTCATCGCTTATAATTTTTTTTTGAAGAAAGACTCTATTAAAAAAATAATGTACAAATTTAAAAAGAGTGAACTTGGAACACCAAGATTATCTTTTGAACTGCAGAAGGGCAATTGTTTCTCAGGATTCTTTGTAATAATGGATGGCAGCTTTTGTTGGATCTTATATTAGCATTGTGCTTTCAATTCAAAAGTGTGTTACTGATGTTACCAGTTGCATAACTCAGTGTTTTTCCCACCTTGCAGCTCTCTGCTCTTACCGCTTTCTTATCTTGAGTTTCTCTTTGAGGTCATGCAATTGTAAAGATAGACACAAACAGACCCAGAGAGAGGCACTGCATTCCTCGAAGACCTTCGGTCCTGGAACAGCAATTAAAAGTTTTTTCTAGAGAGGAGAGAATTGAAGATGTTTGAGCCTGAGGTACACTTCAGTCTCAGTACATTATATAATTTTCTAGAACCCTAACACCAGTTCATTTAGAGCATGAACATTTATAAAAATCTCATTAAAAAGAAGTGGGTTGGGCTTCCCTGGTGGCGCAGTGGTTGAGAGTCTGCCTGCCAATGCAGGGGACATGGGTTCGTGCCCCGGTCCGGGAAGATCCCACATGCCGCGGAGCGGCTAGGCCCTTGAGCCATGGCCCCTGAGCCTGCGCGTCCGGAGCCTGTGCTCCGCAACGGGAGAGGCCACAACAGTGAAAGGCGCGCGTACTGCAAAAAAAAAAAAAAAAAAAAAGAAGTGGGCGAGTGTGCCTTTCTTTTTCATTGTATACACAGAGCTCAAAAACCTGATCTCTAGGCTATAGCTCTAATCAAGCCCTTTTATATAACTATAGCAGGAAGGTTCCACATTGTAGGTCACTGAGCATATATTGAATCCGGGGCTCACTAAGCCCTTTATTGAACATTGGAGAGGTTTAAGTCAACAGTGCTAGTCTCTTGTGACTTGAAGATATCAAAGGAGGAAATTTGTTTGTTCCTGTAATTTGAGGAGCTAAAAGTGCCACCTCCTGAGGTAGGGGTGGGCCGGCAGGGAGCTTAATTGCGTTGTGGCTGAATTTGGAGTCAGATTTACTGACACTGTCAAAAGTAATGTAAGGTTTTTTTCACAGAGAAAGACCTAAGATGCTTGATTCTCACGTCAGCTGCACCCCAGCCTAACCTGTTCATCATTCGGATTAGTCCAGCCAGGCTTGTCTCTTACAGAGCTCTTTCTTAGCCTACTTCAGCATTTTTGTTGACTTTTTTATTAAAAAGTGGGGGAAAACCTGAGGAAGAAAAAGACTTGACTAACAGAGCATTTGTTAAGACTCTTTGGGTTGCAAGTGATAGAAATCCAGCTCCGATTAGTTTAAGCCCAAAGCAGGATTTATCATAGAGAAAATAAAGAGTGACCCAGAACTCAAGGACAGGAAAGTATCAGAGTTTCAGGAACAGTGAGAACCAGGGATTTGAACTTGGTCAGGATGTGCCTTCTGTTGCTTACCTCTGCTGCTTTCAACAGCTTGGCTTCGTTATTAACTCACCGTGGAAGGGCTTTCTCCGTGGGTTGAAAAACAACATGGCTCCCAAGTTAGACCATTCATTGAATAAAAGAGTCTGAGTTTCAGGCTGCTGATCCCAAGCATAACATCCCTGGAGAGGGGCGCTTTGGCCCAATATTTGAGTCAGGAGCCAAACTTCAAACCAATCAACAGTGGCCAGGAAGTGGGGATAGGCTGTATTAAATCAGTTCTTACAAGACTCATGTAACACACAGGTGCTCAAACCATGGGGATTTAGGAGTCCCCTAGACCCTTTTAGGGGGCCCACAATGTCACCGTTATTTTCATTAAAAACACACAATTAAATAAAAATTCTTTTCATAATAACACTAAGATATTTGACTTTTTCACTCATTCTCTGCAGAGCGTATGGTGGAATTTTCCAGAGGTTACATGACATGGGACATCACAACAGATTGAACACAAAAACAGATGTGGAATCCAGGTAGTTTATTTTTATTTTTATTTTTTTTCAGGTAGTTTAGTCTTCTATTAAGCCTGACAGTAAAGAGATTTAAAAATGTAAAACAGGGCTTCCCTGGTGGCGCAGTGGTTGGGAGTCCACCTGCCGGTGCAGGGGACACGGGTTCGTGCCCCGGTCCGGGAGGATCCCACATGCTGCGGAGCGGCTGGGCCCGTGCATCCGGAGCCTGTGCTCCACAACGGGAGAGGCCACGACAGTGAGAGGCCCACGTAACGCAAAAAAAAAAAAAGTAAAACAATGCCACTCATCTCACTATTTAAAAACTATATATTTATATTTCATAAAAATGTTGTTTATGTTAGTATGTGATGGGCTTGTTATTGCTATTTTTAAGTGAATTAATAAATACTTTAAATATTTAAGTATTTCTAATATAGTAAATATTAATAGTTATAACCTACATAAACAAAAGCTCTTTAGAGGCATCAATAATCTCTAAGGAGTTCCTGAGATTAAAAAAGCTCCCGATGAGGTTGGGAGGGAGGGAGACGCAAAGGGGAAGAGATATGGGGACATATGTATATGTATAACTGATTCACTTTGTTATAAAGCAGAAACTAACACACCATTGTAAAGCAATTATACTCCAAGAAAGATGTTAAAAAAAAAAAAGAAAAAGCTCCTGAACCACTAATATAACTATGGGCAACTTGCTTGATTTTTCTGTGCTTCAGTTTCTTCATCTGTAAATGGGGATAATAATAGGGCCTACCTTATAGGGTATGGGAGGATTAAGAGAGTTAATACTTTGTGAAGTGCTTAGAGCAGTTCCAGGCACATAATAGGTGCTTTAGAAGGGTTAAATACTACTACAACTACTACTACTACTACTACTACTACTACTACTACTGCTACTAAAAAAGAGGTTCACAGACTATGCCAGAGGTCAACAACATTGGAATCAAAAAATAACCAGTCAGAGAAAACTGTATGAAAATGTCTAGGGTTTTATGTTAAGGCAGGTACTACAGAAAAAATAAGTACAAGGGTAGAAATTATCTCATTACTTGGGCTTTATATATCGTGATTTAGGTCATTCCGTAGTTTGAGTTTCTCTAACAGTATGATAGCTGATTCTGTGTCTCAGGGTTAGCAACTTTCCTACATGGTTCTCCTTTTTGGTTTTGTTTTCAAAAAAATTTTATTTTTTATTGATGTATAGTTGATGTACAATATTATATAAGTTACAGGTGTACAATACAGTGATTCACAATTTTTAAAAGTTATACCCCATTTATAGTTATTAAAAATATTGGCTATATTCCCCATGCTGTACATATGTCCTTGTAGCTTATTTTATACCTACTAGCTTGTACTTCTTACTTCCCTACCCCTATATTGTACATGGCACTTTAGATCTACTTTGACTATTTGTTGTGCCCTAACCCACAATTTGCCCTCCCCTGTTGGCAATACATGGGAAAGCATGATATCATTGTGTGACCCTCTGTGTACCAAAGGCACATTTAATCCTTGAAGTATTCCTGAACTATAGGTATTATTAATTCAGTTTCACAAGTGAGGAAACTAAGGCTGAGAGAAGATGTAAGTGGCCCAATGTGACACAGTTAAAAAATAACAAAGCCAGGAATTGAACCTAGATTTGTAGGATGTTGAAGTCCAACATCTTTCCAGTATTCCCTCCGGTCTCCCATCTAGAGAGAAAGAAAGAAAGTCTCTAATAATAAACAAAGTCTCTCATTTCACAATTAGAAATGAAAGACTTAACTACACCTCTCCTCTTTTCTAATACATGCGTTTAATGCCAAAAATTTCCCTCTGAGTACTGCTTGAGCTACATCCCACAAAATTTGATGTATTTTGATTTTTATTCAGTTGACAATATTTTCTAATTTCCCTTGTGATTTCTTCTTTGACCCATGGGTTACTTAGAAGTGTGTTGTTCAGTTTCCAAATATTCGAGGATATTTTTCAGATACCTTTCTGGTTTTGATTTCTAATTTAATCTCATTGTCGTCAAATGATATACTGTGTATGAGTTCAATCCTTTCAACTTATTGTGACTTGTTTTATAGTGCAGAATATATTCTATCTTGGTAAATATTGCATGTATAGTTGGAAAGAATGTGTGTTTGGGTATTGATAAATAGAGTGTTCTATAAACATCAGTTACTTCAATATGATGGTGTTGTTCAAGTTTTCCATATCCTTACTGATTTTCTGTCTATTTGTTTTGTTGAAAACAAACATTATTGAAAGAGGAGTTTTAAATTCTCCAACTATAATTTTAGATTTGTCTATTTTTTCTTTTGCGTCTATCAGTTGCTTCTTCAACTATTTTGAAACTTTGTTATTAAGTGCATAAGCATTTAGGAATTTAATGTCCTCTAATTAATTGATCCTTTAATCATTATGAAATGTCTCTCTTCATCTGTGCAAAAATTCTTTGCGAGGATATTTACTTTGAGAGTATAGCAAATCCAGCTTTCTGTAGTTAATATTTGCATGTATATCTTTTTCCATCTTTTTACTTTTAGTCTATCTATATCTTCATTTTTAAGTGGGTTTTCTTTAGGCAGTATATAGTTGGATCTTAAAAAAAAATTAATATGATAAACTTTGCCTCTTATTACTCATATTTATTTACATTTAATGTAAATGGTCTAAACATACAATCATCAACCATGTGGTCCAGGCTCAGATATGTCAATTGAGGTATATAATTTGTCACCCCAAAACAGATTCAAAATTTCAAGTTTTTTATTTCAATTTTTCAGATGTCCTAAATGGGATATATGGACTACAGCACTCCTTCTAAAAATTCCCTTTCATTTTTCCTTCTACTTTGCTCACACAGTGCAATTCTTTGCAAAACTTTTTTTTCAACTCTTCAGAAAATCGCACCCAATGGTGTCTTGAGTTTCCTGTCCTTTGCCCCTTCTGTTTCCTCCTGATTCTGCATTACAGGAGTTCAAAGGGATAGTTCTGACATCTCGTCTTGAAGGATGAGGGAGAGAAAGAAACTGACTAGGCAAAACTCAAGTCTTCTTTGGCCCATAGCAGGAGAGAAACGTCTGGGAACAATTATTCATTAATATCTCTCGTCCAGCTGTGCTCTCCCGTATCACAGCTACAAACAGGTGACCAATATTGAAATGTGCCATTGTGCATTCATTCCCTCTCTTCACAATCTAGGGCCTCCCTTGCCTATGTTGTCAATTTCTACTGTGTCGGAGAGGCTACTCTTTCCAGACAGTATCTTTAGTTGGGAAGGAAAAGAGAGCAAAGAGATATGAGCATTCATTATTCATTCATTCAACATATATTTATTGAGTACCTACCATGTATGAGGTGCCTCTTGGGGTGCTTCGGGGTGAGCAAGTCAGACAAGACTCCTGCTCTTGCAGTGCTCACCTCCTAGTGAAGGAGACACAGTTACCACATTCAGATGGTCCTGATGGGACATGAAGAAAATAATTCAGAGAAGGGGAAAGAGAGCCATGGGGAATAGGGTGAGGGCTATATTTTTGCAGGATAGTATAAGGATGGAATGACGTAAGTGAGTATGCTGTGGGAATGTCCAGGGGAGATTTCTCAGGCAGGGACCCGTAAGTGAGACAGAATGAAGCCATGTAGATTCAAGAGACTGGTGTGACTCAGCATGATGTACAAAGAGGAGAGTGAAGACAAGGAGATGAGGTTAGGTAGGTAGCTAGGCACATTCATGCAGGGTCTGATTGCTCAGGGTAAGGTTCTTGAGCAGAGCTGTCCAAGAGAACATTGGGTTGATATGAAACCTATGTGTAATTTCAAACTATCTGTCACTATGTTAAAAGAACTAAAAACAAATGGGTATAATTAATTTTTATACTGTATTGTTTTTAACCAGATATACCAAAATTGTATCATTTCAGTATGCAATCAATATAAAAACTTGGCGTTTGGCTTTCAAAAAACTTTGCTCAGAAAAACAGGTTGTGGGCCGTAGATTGCTGTCCCCTAAACTAAGGAAGTAGATATTCTTTTATTTTTTTTTAATTAGCCAAAACAATCTTGAGAAAGGAGAATAGAGCTGGAGGTATCATGCTCCCTGACTTCAGACTATACTACAAAGCTACAGTGATCAAAATAGTATGGTACTGGTGCAAAAACAGACACATATACTAATGGAACAGAATAGAGGGTCCAGAAATAAACCCACATACTTATGGTCAATTAATCTATGACACAGGAGGCAAAAATATATAATGGGGAAAAGTCTGTTGAAAAATTGTGCTGGGAAAACTGGACAGTCACATGTTAAAGAATGAAATTAAAACATTTTCTCACAACATACCCAAAAATAAACTCAAAATGGATTGAATACCTAAATGTAAGTCTGGAAACCATGAAACTCCTAGAAGAAAACATAGGCAGAACACTCTTTGACATAAATCATAGCAACATTTTTTGGATCTGTCTCCTAAGGCAAAGAAAACAAAAGAAAAACTAGGCTTCCCTGGTGGCGCAATGGTTAAGAATCCACCTGCCAATGCAGGAGACACAGGTTCGAGCCCTGGTCCGGGAAGAGCCCACATGCCACGGAGCAACTAAGCCCGTGCGCCACAACTACTGAGCCTGCATACTACAACTACTGAAGCCCATGCGCCTAGAGCCCTTGCTCTGCAACAAAGAGAAGGCACCGCAATGAGAAGCCCGCGCACCACAACAAAGAGTAGCCCCCGTGCGCATACTAGAGAAAGCCCCCGTGCAGCAACGAAGACCCAATGCATCCAAAAAGAAAAAAAAAAAAAAAAAAGAAAAACTAAACAAATGGGACCCAATCAAACTTAAAAGCTTTTGCACAGCAAAGGAAACCATCAACAAAACAAAAAGACAACCTACTGTATGGGAGAAAATATTTGCAAATGATATGACTGATAAGGGATTAATATCCGAAATATATAAACAGCTTATACAACTCAACATCAAAAAAACAAACAATGAGATATTACCTCACCCCTGTCAGAAAGGCTATCATCAAAAACACCACAAATAACAAATGTTGGCAAGGATGTGGAGAAAAGGGAACCCTCATACACTGTTGGCGGGAATGTACATTGGTGCAGCTACTGTGGAAAACTGTCTAGAGGTTTCTCAAAAAGCTAAAAATAGAACTACCATGTGACCCAGCGATTCCACGGTTGGGTATATGTCCAACAAAAATGAAAATAATTCAAAAATATACATGCACCCCAATGTTCATAGCAGCAGTATTTACAATTGCCAAGATATGGAAGCAGCCTAAGTGTCTATCAACAGATAAATGGATAAAGAAGATGTGATATATATATATATATATATATATATATATATAAAAAATATATATATATATAAAATGGAATACTACTGAGCCATAAAAAAGAATGAAATTTTGCCATTTGCAACAACATGGATGGACTTGGAGGGTATTATGCTAAGTGAAATAGGTCAGATAGAGAAAGACAAATTCTGTATGATGTCACTTACATGTGGAATCTAAAAAATAAAGTAGTGAATATAAAAAAAAGAAACAGACTCACAGATATAGAGAACAAACTAGTGGTTACCACTGGGGAGAGGGAAAGAGCAATGGGCAAAAGAAGGGTAGGGGATTAAGAGATACAAACTACTATGTATAAAATAAGTTACAAGGATATATAGTGCAGCACAGGGAATGTGGCCAATATTTTATAATAACTTTATTTATTTATTTTTAATATCTTTAAATGGAGTATAATCTATAAAATTTTGAATCACTATGTTGTATGCCTGAAACTAATATAATATTATAAATCAAGTATACTCAGTAAAAAGATAAGTAAAAATTTAAAAATTAAATTAGATATAATTGACATATAACATTATTTTAGTTTCAGGCGTATAATATAATGATTTGCTATTTGTATATAAATGAGACAAGAGGGAAGGGGGCAGGGCACAACCATTAAAAGAATGACACAGCCATTGAGGACACAACAATAACTGGTTAGAACCTACTAGGTCCAAGATGGCAGATGATTCAATTTCCAGTAGACCTTGAGCCTCATTATATGCTCATTGTAATACATTATCATGCTAAATGACACACCCACAAGTGCCATGACAGTGCTGAGGCAGACCATAAAAGACCAAAAAGTGGGCAGTGGCCCAACTCCTGGAAATCCCCGCCCCTTCCCCCAAATAGTTGGAACAATCCTCCCACTCATTAGCCTATGAAATTACCCAGCCCATAAAAACTAACCACCCCATATTTCAGGGCTGCTCTCACCTTCTGAGACAGCCCACACTCTGTCTATGGAGGGTGCATCTCTCAGGGCTGCCCTTACCTTCTGAGACAGAACATATTCTGTCTATGGAATGTGTATCTCTGCTTTCCCTTTACTATGGTTTGCTCTTGAATGCTTTCCTGCGGGAAGCCAAGGACCCTCACCTGGTGGCCCATCCCAAAAACTCACCTGAGACCTGGGACATGACCATCCTCTCATGCCCCATGTTCCTGCAACCCCTTTACAAAGGATATTAATAAATCTACTTCTTACCTATCACTTTGCCTCTCGCTGAATTCCTTCTGCACTGAAACATAAAGAACCTGAGCTTCATTAAGTCCTGAGATGAGTTGTGTGGTTTCAGGTGGAAGATTGTGGGTTCAAGTCCCAACTGAGGTGTGTGGTTTCATATTGAGAAATGATCCCTACAATAAGTCTAGTTAACATCTGTTACCATACACAGTTACAAAATCTTTTTTCTTGTGATGATAATTTTTAAGAACTAAAACTTTTTAATGAGATGTTTTGCATTCTTTTTTTTACTAGATGCAATGGACTGCATATTTATGTTCCTTCCAGATTCCTATGTTGAAATCCTAACTCCCAATGTGATGGTATTAGGAGGTATAGCCTCTGGGAGATGATTAGGTCAAGAGTAGAGCCCTGGTGAATGGTATCCTGTCTCATAAAAGAGACCACAGAGAGCCACCCCATGTAAAGACACAAGGAGAAGACAGACAAAGAAAATAGAGGGAAAGACATAAATAATACATAGAAGTAGATCTCCCAGAGCTAAAGAAAGATCCAAGTCTTCAAATTAAAAAGTCTCATGAATGAAGGAAAGAAAGAACCATATCTAGCCCTAACTTGGAGAAATTTCACAAGTCCAAAGATAAAAATATTCCAAGAAGAAACAAGAGGTTACATCAAAGGAATGAGAATTATATTGGCTCACATCAGTTACACTAGCTGCTAGAAAACAAGGGAATAATGGCTTTAAAATTCCTGGAGAAAAATGATTTTGAGCCCAGAGTTCTATACTCAGCCAAATTAGCATTTAAGTTTGGAGCAAAATATTTTTTTGACTTCCAGGGACTGAGGAGATTTATCAACCACAGACTGTTCCTGAAAGAAGTGCTTAAGGATGTACTACAGCAAAATGAAATAGGAATCCAAAAACAGAGAAAGAATTCAGGAAGTAGAAACAAGCCAATTAAAAGAAATACTAGAATGCTGGTTGTGTAATAAGCCTAAAAGTAAAATAGTGTGAAGAAACTAGATCATTTTAGAGAGTAGATATAGGATTATTATAGTATTAAATTTGAAAATCACAATATATTCCATTTCTCCCTCAAGAGCTACAAGTCTAGTGACATATAATTATATCACCTTCTTTACTGGATCCAAACACTCTATTTGATCCTGTCATGAATATTTTTATATCATCAGCACACAGCAGATACTTGTTCTTGGTTTTCAATGTTGGGAATTAAGTTATAGACCATGTATGGAAAATGTAATTAACATTAGAGAACAGAGTAGAAATGTTATAAATTCCACAAACAGAAGTAATGGCATGTTGAGAGGTATAGGTAGGGAGGAATGAAAGATAAGGGGAAGTAAGTACAGAGGTGTTCAGCACCTCACCTTCAGAAAATCGAGATACTGTGTGCCGTAGCGCTGGGGGGCTGGGCAAGGTAGGTAAGGGAGAGGGCACTGTGGGAGGGGTAGGAAGCAGGGCCTAGGGGCACCGGGACAGGGGTATTGCACGTGCGACGTGAGAAGAGGTGCACGAGGATGGGGAGTGGGGAGGACTGAGGACGTGTGAGAGGGCGGGCCACAGCAGGGTGCGGAGCGGAAGGGGCGTGGCACGGGCGTGGCTTAGCGGGGAGAAGGGGAGCAGGCCCCCCACCCTTTGGCCCGGGCGCCTGCGCAGACCAGTTGCCCGCCCAGTTCTGGAGCTTGCGCGCTCAAACCTTGCCTCGCGTCATTTCACTTCATCTCAAGTCACTTCGCCTCGCTGAGCCTCGCGTCTTCGCCTCGCGTCTTCGCCTCGCGTCTTCGCCTCAGCCGAGAGTCATGCCGCGCCTGCCGGTTATCTGCCTACTTCCCCGCCGCCGTGTGACCCTGCTGGTCCTGCAGCGTGGCCAGCGCCTGGTCCACTTGACGCTTCCGCGCCAGCGCCCCGCGTCGACCATCGTGAGTTGGGGCCCACCCGCTGGGGCGGCGCAGGCGGGACGCGACGGACGGGAGCGTGTGGCCGAGGCGGGGAGGACACGGCCGCCGCTCGGGTGGGAGGCTTCGGTGGCCGGGCCGCAGTTGGAGGGCTCAGAGGCCCGGTGGGGGGCCGGGGCGGCGTCGCGGTGAGGGTGCCGGGTTTGGGCCTGAGGCGGCGGGAAGCAGGGACCTGGAGAAGCGCGGGCCTCAGAGGGCCGAGCCTTAGTCGTCGGTACCTTTTATGGGCGGGAAGTCCGAGGGGCAGAGCTGTCGTTGCCCACCTCAGAATATCTGCCACCTTCGATCACCCTCTAAATTGCCAAGACGTAGCATTTCCCCTAAAACGCTGGAAATCGTGGGCAACGTCTAGCTTCCAGAGTTCAAAGGTCAGAACTGGGGCGCCATGAGAAGGAAAATGAGTTTTCCTCAAAAATTTCTATTGGGTCGCCTAGGAAGGGAGCTCCCGCTTTTTAGGTTTCACCAGGCCCCCGTTTTGATGACAACAGCCAAACTCCTCAAAATCGTTCTTTCTTTTGTTCGGCAGCGAGTGACTGTTCCCGGAAGCCGCCGTCGCTAACAGCGTTTTTCATCTTCTCTTCCAGGCGGTGGCTATTGCCCTCGCGGTGTTTTTCACCGCCTTCTTAACCCCCAGTGGGTATGTGCTTAGCAGCCTGAACCAGTACCGAAGACAGTAGTGGGAGAAGATGTAGAGCAGCTGTTTATGTCCGGCAAACTTTCAGAAAACGCTGTGGCTTCTTTAAATGCGCAAAAGTTCGTAGTTGGGTTGATGGCGCAACCATTGTGGGTATTCACCTTCATAACCACATGCTTATGGTGAATATTTTGCACTTTTTTGGTATTGTGTATCATAGAGTTATACAGTCACTTAAAAATGTTAAATAAAATTGAGACACTTGTTCATGCTTGGTATTAATGTGTGGTCACAGGATATTTTCAAAACGTCGTGAAAGCCGACAAAATCTACTGAAGGAAAATACACTTGACCCGTGCAAGGTGGGGAGGTGCGGGCCTCCGGAGGGGAGGGGGCGGTGCGGGCGGAATTAGGAGTGCTGACCCTCCCTGCGGTCGAAATTCCCTCCGTAGCTTTACAGTCTGCCCTCCAGTATCTGAGGTTCTGCCTCCGAGGGTTCAGCCAACCTCGGATCTTGTAGTATATATTTGTTGAAAAACATCGCTGTGTAAGTGGACCTGTGTTGTTCAGGGGTCAGTTATACACTAATGAGAACTGCAACGTAAGACCAGACTTACTGAACTTTTTTCTTCTCTGACTCCGGTGATTGTGCACTTAAGCTTCTAATGGCTGCGTCCATGTGCTCCAGCTAATGACAAAGGAATGGTCTACCTTTGTGCTGGCTGGGGAAGAATATTGCACTGGAGAGGTCTTTGCCGTAAAACTGGAGCGCTTAATTTTCTGAACCATTTACTTGACACACGTATTTATTGAGTATTCTCATGGAATAATGCTATATGTTGGGAAATGGTAGTTCATTTTGTTGAACAAATTCTGTTGCCCTGTCTTATTAATTTTACATGCATAAAGGTGTCACTTTCAAAGTACAGTGGATTCTTGTTATTTGGGGTAGTTTTATTATGTAGTCACTGTGAATGCAGAATTAGTACACGCTGAACCACTGCTCCTAGGGGAAGTACAGGCTTAGGTTCCTGTGGGCCTCTGGTCACAATATGTTTCTCAACCTATCAATATATAACCTGATTTTACGTGTGTTTCTATTTAAGGACACCGTATTTATTATATATTATTGATTCATAAGTATTGTACTCATGGCTGACTGCACTATAACTCATGTCGGATTGAAGCTTATCTAATATGTATATTTTTCCTCTAAGGCACATCACGGTCTCGTGCTTAGACACTCTAGACAGCACTTCAGCACTATGCTTGGGGACCATTTTATTTTTTAATTTTAATTTATTTTATTTTAAAAAATTTATTCAAGTACAGTTGATTTACAGTGTTGTATTAATTTCTGCTGTACAGCAAAGTGATTCATTTACACATATATGCATTCTTTTTCATATTCCTTTCCATTGTGATTTATCACAGGATATGGAATATAGTTCCCTGTGCTATACAGTAGGACCTTGTTTATCCATGCTGTATATATTGGTTTGCTTGGGGGCCATTTTAAACAGTGAAATCTCCAACAAAAAGTACAAAAATGTAAAAAATGTGACACTAAGAAGACCATGGAAAGGACACTTGTTTACAGTATGAGAACTGAAATAAGAAGTTAGAACATAGCCTTGTTTGACCTTAGCGTTGGGCGATTCAAATTTTTCACCACCCCCGCATGTCTGTGAATGACGTGAAAGTGTGAGTATTGATTTGGGGATTGCTAATCAATTTTAGCAAGTAGGAGAATTTGCAAATATGGACTCTACAAATAATGAGGATCAAGGGGAATTTCTTGGAGGAGGTCTTGGTTCTATTTGTGAGGTGTTTTGGAAGATTTTATTTTGAAATCTTAAGAATTTACAGGATGTTCTTTGGGGAAGAATTAGCGTGTAGAAACTTTCATGTCTTCAGGTTAAATTTTTGTGGAATAGTTTTAAAATGTGAGTTTGGGGAATAAATGAAGTAGTTCAACTCTCGGTTTAAAAGTGAGATCTGACAATAAACTAATGATTTTCCTGGTGAAACAGCTGATTATAAAATATTTTGACGGTGATATCATTGGTAGAACTTTGACTATTTCCCAGATGAGTACTTTATTGGCTAACATCCAGTAGGTATAAAGTTCCGGCATCTGATCATCACCATATGCATATACTGCCTATCTATCTCTTCTCCATAGCCAGATTTAAAATTCCTTGAGGAAGTGTGAGGTGTGATAATTTTTTAATCCTTAGGTGTAGGGTAGTAGATAAATCAAAATATTTACTCTTTGATCAGAAGACTGAAATTCCTCCTTCATGTGAACAGGCATTTAGTGAGCATCTATTATGTGGTCCGTAGATGGGAAAGCAGATAGTTCCTATCTTATTGTTTTTCTGACATTTAGCTCAAAGGCTGGCAAATATTCTGAGCTCTTCTTTTTTTTTTTAATATAACCTGTTGAGTGGTTAAACTGCTGATGAGACAAATAGGGTTCATCTCTCTTGCCAATTTCAGTCCTTTCTAGTAGTAGTGGCTGTGTGTAATGCTGTGTTGAGGAAGATTATAGAAGAAATGGAATAATTTTAATTAACAGTATAAGTAAAATGTAGCATTTATATCGACTAAGCTTGTCCTTTTTCTTTGATAATTTTTGGCAAAGAAATTTATAGAAATTATAAATTCAGGTCTTTAGACAAGACTTATAAATCATTTATAACATTTAATTTATAAGCATGATGAACACAGTATTTAATTTGTAAGCATGATAAATATTTGTGGCAAATATTTCTGTCAAAGATTTTAAGAAAGATTGATGATTATGAAATACTTTTATTCAGAAAGATCAGGGGTAGGCCATTTTTCAACACAGAAAAAACATTTTCTGCGAAGTTCTATTTATTTTTAAAGTTCTGTTGCTATGGCAAGTTGCTGAATTTGGATAAATCACTTTACTTATGGAAGGCTGTTTCCTTTTCTGTAAAATCAGCAGGTTGACCTAGACCAGTGATTTTTAACTTTTTTGCTTTATTCAAAGCAGTATGTCATTGAAAGATTTTGTGGCCTACCGTGTAAGCAGGGCATTAACATTTTTTTTTTTAAATAGTAACCTGAGGTTAGTCAGAATTAAACTTTCTAAATCAAGTACTGGTTAAAATTGATCGTATAATTTATGCACGTATGTGTACACATATACATTCAATATGATACTTAGGGTAGGCCTATCATGGGGAAAATCACTTCTTTAATATATTCATTTTGTCAGCCTACACTTCTCTCAGCTTTATTACCCCATTGTTCCTACCACACCTTTACTTGGCATCATTTGGACTTCGCCATTCTCTTCTGTGAGGAACCTGTTGTTTTTCCTTTTTCCTTATCCACCCTTCCCACCTTACCCACTCTCATTTAAGTGTTCTATTGCCAATACCTCTAACTTCTTTGCCCTTTTATCTTTTTGTTCATGAGCCCTCCAGAATACAAATCCTATATCAGTCTTAGTCCCCCCATTTTGGCTCAGGCAAGAGCTGCAAAGGAAATGAAAGAATCACACTGTTACTGCTATTAGAAATTCATTGTCTCCAAACTCATAAGCCTGTAGTGCTTCTTGAAATTCCTTTCTCTTTTCCTTTACTTTTCATGATAGTGGCCATTTTAAATCTCATGTTCTATTGATTTATTATATCAGCCCTCTACTTAATCTTAACAGAGTACCTCATCTCCTACTTCGCAGAGGAAGTTGAAACTATTCCTTAATTATTGCCCCCTTATCTACAAATGTAACTGAATCCAACCCATCTTTCCTCTAATTGCAGTGGAATGGAGAATTACCATTCTAGGGCTGACCCTCTTTCCTGTGCTCTGGGTCCTACATCTTTCCTACCCTATGGGATACAAAGCTCTAGCAATTGTCTAACTTAGATTTCTCTTTACCGACTCCATCTCGTGATAATTTAAATATGCTCAGCTTTCATTCCTTAAAAAAGGGAAAGAAGCCCTTCCATCTCCTTTAACATAAGCGTCCAAGTTTTTGGTAGCTTTCTCAACTTCTCCACTGATTGAGTTTTCAATTAACTGAATGCTTATTTCTACTCATCATTCCATTGATATGCTATCCAAGGTCATCAGTAGCTTTGTCACTAAATCTAGTAGATAGCTCTTAGTCCTTACCTTTTTGCAGTATTTCGCATTATTTACTCTGGTTTTGAAATAATCTCCTCAGTGGTATCACACTTAACGGTATCACAAACTTCTCATTTATCTCTCATCAATTTGATTGTTCTTTCTTAGTCTTAGCCTCCTTCCCCTTCTGCTTAAAATTTCTTCTCTCTGTATATTCTCAGCCTTTGGATGGCTTCAGTTACTTATTGATTACTCCCAAATCAGTCTTTCTGTCCTAGATCTTTCTCCTGAAATCCAGGTAGTTATTTCTGTGTGCCTAGCATTTCCTCTTTGATAATGCATAGACACTTCAGATGAAAAATACCCAAACCTGAAATCTTTCTCCTCTCAAATCTGCTATTCATCCTGTGTGCATTCATGCATTCATTCAGTGTTTGAGCACCTCCTGTATACCACTGTACACTGTGCTGGATATATACAGGAGAATCAAATAGATAAAGTCGCTGCCCTAACTTAGTCTAGAGCGGGAGGTAGACAGACATGTCAACTTAAATACATAATCACAAATAGGATATGAAGAATAACTAGGGGACCTAACTTAAGTTGGGGGAAGGGCAGTCATTGAAGGTGTGTTTGCTGGAATGATATTTAAGCTGAGACCTAAAGAGGTGAACAGTGGGGAAGGAAATTAAAATTTTAGAAGGAAGTCATGTCTGAGACCCTGAGGAGACCAAGATCTTGATATTTTATAGAACTGAGGAAAGCTACATAGCTTTAAGTGTTGTGGGTGAGAAGGAAAGTGTTGTGAGAAGATGATGAGGGAGTAGGTGGGAGCCAAATCATAGATGGCATTATTGACCATGTTTGAATTAGAATAATTTTTTTATTATATGTACAGGAAAGCTACTAAAGGGTTTTTGAACAGGAAAGTGATAGGATCTGGTTTTAGGAAGATAGCACAAGTAATTTAGGCTTATGAAAGTAAATGTAATGAGAAGTGAATCATGTTTGCCTTGAATCTGAAAAGTAAGATACTACGGTCTCTTTCAGCTGCCTATACCGGAAATAAGTGTAGGAACCCTCCTTGGCAGTCTTTTTCTTTACTATAGTTCTAATCTTACAAAGTCTTACTAATTGTACATTTTTAACTTTTCTTACA